AAAATTCAAATGTGGGTCGCTTTTCGGGTATGGCATCCCAACACTGAAGCATTACGGCGTATATATTATCAGGCAAAAGATGACTAGCGGGTTTTGGCATGCGGTAACCCCTTTCGACTTGTTCTATGACCTCTCGACCGTGCATGGCCGGATATGGTATTTGTCCGTATGTGAAAAGCTCCATTAGAAGAATACCGTACGACCAGACGTCGGATTTGATTGAAAATCTACCGTAGACAATGGCTTCCGGAGCCGTCCATTTAACGGGAAAACGTGACCCTGGAGAATAATTTTTCAAAATTGGTTATACTTATACGTTGCATTTATTATTATTTCCACCAGCACTACTACGTTACTCAAAACTACAAACCTTGTTTAGGACAATATTCATCATCTTCAATAATTCTAGCCAATCCGAAATCACAAATTTTCGCTACGTTATTATCACCTATGAGAACGTTTCTGGCAGCCAGATCACGATGTATGAGTTGTTTTTGTTCAAGGTATTCCATTCCACTGGCAATTTGTGCGGCAATATAAATTAAATCACCGAAACCGAGATCTTTCCCTTCTCCGTTTCTTAAAAATTCAAGAAGGCTTCCTTTATTCATATATTCTTGAACAATGTAAATGGGTTCTTCTTTAGAACAAACTGCGTATAAGGCGACAAGGCGATCGTGGCGAAATTTTTTCATTATGGAAGCCTCCTGGAGGAAAGCAGCCGTCGACATGGTTCCTTGCCGAAGCGTTTTCACAGCCACCTCGATATCGTTTCTCCATTTTCCATACCAAACTTCTCCGAAATTACCCTGGCCCAGTTTTTTTATTAGTTGAATTTCTGAACGATCGATTTCCCATTGATCACGCATGTTAATGGAAAGATCCCATATTTGAGGTTTAGGCTTAGGACAAGGTCGGGATAAGACATGACATAATCCAAGGGCATTTTCTAGAAAAAAAAAAAAAACAAAAAATTTAAAACAAAATATTTTATAATATTAAGAGCAATTTGATGTTTTCTCGTTAATAAACAATGATTTTTGTTTTTTAACTCACTCGAATAAGCCATAACGAGATTTTGTAAACTAGGGAAAGTTTGATTGGTGGCTATGTAAAATCCACCATTGTCTAATGGCTTTATTTTATAATGTTTTGGATGATAGCCTCTAGCTTCTTCCCAATCTTTAACGGATAGAGAAAAACCATTTGGATTGTGCTCGCTATTTCTGACAAGAAATGTTCCCCTAGGATTTTCTACGGACAGTAAAAGCCTTTCGGCTTCTTTTCTCGAAATTTTACCGAAAAACCAACTAAAAGAATAAAAAACAAAACACGTTAAGATTTTATTTTTTTCTCTCTCTCTCTCTCTCTCTCTCTCTACCGTCAATAACATACTCTTCGCTTTCTATAGATTTTTCTTCGGCCACGAAATTCCATGGTATAAAACCTTCTTCTCCGGTTCTCAAATGTTTTACCCTCCACCAATCAGGCTCTGAATCATCAAGTATTTCCATTCGATCTCCTTTGAGGAAAGAAACATCAGCTGCCTCTCTGGCATTGTAAGGATATTTAGCTATTACAATTCTTCTGTGTGTCAATGTTGGATGGACTGTAAAAAAAAAAATTTTAATTTAACAACCATTTTTCGAGTAAGAAAATTTTTCTTTTTAAAAGATTACACCCCCTAAACTTACATGGTGTCGTAGGAGTTCGAATAATATCAACTCCTTGTCTTTTAACTTGCATAACAGGAGGTCTGTTGGGGTCGGGCGTATATCTTGGATCTCCTCCTCCTCCTCCTCCATTTACTGTGTGAACTATAAATTCACCGTCAGGAACTTTATACGCATGTTGATAAACTAAAAAAAAAAAAAAAATGACTTTAATGAGGCGCAGGAATCGAATTAAAAATCAAATCATTTTTTTTTTTTTTTTTTTTTTAAAAATAAACAACAACAAAACCTATCGATTGATTTAGTTTCATATCCTTCTGAGTCATTTTTTTTTTACTTAAAGTTTCTGTTTCGCGATTAAATTTGATATTTATATATATATATATATATATATTCTTCGACTATAAAATTATAGTAAGGAATTATTTAATTTTCTTTGAACCCGTTGAATAAAACCTTTTGAAAAGGAAAAAAATAAAATAATAATAATAATAATAATAATAAAAGTGCGTACGACGTCTGAACAAAAAAAAAAAAACGGAAAAGGGCAATAATAAATTTCTTGGTTCGTGAATTTAAAACAACGATATGTAAATTTAATTTTTTTTTGAAAGCTAGCTAACTACACGCTTTAAAGAACAATTTCTAAACGAATTTAATTTCACTTTAATTTAATTTTATAAAAAAAAAATTATTAATATATATATATATATTTTATGAGAATTTTTTGTTCGAGTCGACAAAAAAAGAAAGACAGAAAATCAAATTACACAAACAAATTTATTTACTTATTTTTACCCAAACAAATTCGAAATGGATGCTGCTGACAAAATTCTAAACAGCATGCTGACAAAAAACAAAAACAAAAAAACCTTAATATAAATTTTTAAAGAGTTTTAAAAAGCAAAAAAGGCGGAAAAGCTTTTTCAACAAAAATCATTTTTTTTTCTTTTTTTTTAATTTAAACGAAAAACAAAACAAACAAATCCCAATAAGTCCTAAAAATACAAAATTGAATTCGGGGATTACGATTACGATTACGTTTTTTTTTTTTTTTTTGAGTCATTTACGTTTTAACGGTAATTTTTTTTTTTTTTTAAATGAAACAAAAAATAATAATAATAATAATAATGACGTAGAAATACAATTCATATTATATAAAAAAAAAATAAAATAAATAAATAAATACAGGGCTTAATTTTTAGAGCTTTTAAACGACATCATCGACGATTACGTTTTTCTTAAAAAAAACAATAATAGAAATTTCAAATGAAATAAAAAAAAAATAAAATGTGAGTAAACCTTTGCAATGTTTAAACCTATGATGTTAAAAAATAGGTACCAGGAACAGATAGTGAAGTAAAAGAAAAACCTATCACGACGTTACCTGAATAGAATACTAAAGTTACGATTAGTTATAAATGGCAAAAAAACGATTGTATAAAAAAAAAAAACAATGCTCCACCAGGGCTGATAATAACCGTTATCCTTGACTTATTAAAAAAAATAATAATGATGATGATGATGATGATAATAATAAAATGACAAAGAGAAGTGGTTGATTTTTTTTTTTTTTTTTTAAACCGTATATCTTTCGTAGGGCAAACTTAAATGCGTAAAGTAAATGGACTGATATCAGAAAATCAATACTTGAAAAAAAAAAAAAAAAATCAACAAATATTTACTATTTATTATTATTATCATTATTAATAACGACCGTATTTCTTCGTTATGAGCGTTCTCTTTATAAAATATTTTGTGTACAAAATTCGACTCGTTTACCTTTCTTACTACCTTTCAAGGTTTTAAAATTTATTTGAAATAGAAACGCCGACCGACCGATATTACAAACACACACAAAAAATATTATTATTATTATTATTATTATTATTATTATTATTATTATTATTATTATCATCATCATCGTAACTTTTTCAAGAAAATAATCACCTTTCACCTTTTTTTTTCTCTTTTTTTTAATTTCAATATGTATGAGCATTGATTTTTTTATTTTTTAAAACGTAATAAATAACTTACCTAATGGCCTTCCAGTTTCGTTAGGACGTTTACTGCAACAGGCTCCCATTTTATTTAACAATCAAATGTTTAAAAATTATTATTATTATTATTATTATTCCTTTTTATTAAATCCGTAAACGTCATTTCTTCTTCTTCTGTTTTTCTACAACTGGAAAAAAAATTAAATAATATCATTTAAAAATAACAAATAAAATAATAAAAGGAAAGCAAAAAGAAAAATTCGGATGGTTGATTTCATTGTTTGATTTTTTCTGAAAACGGAGGACATTTTCTACTCTACTATTAATAACAACAACAACAACAAAAAAGAATAAATAAATATTTTTGAATGACAGTTAACACGAATTTACCCACTACCCGACGACCAAGAGAATAATAATAATAACAATTTCACTTAAAGTTTCCTTATTATAATTATTTAATTTTAATTGCAATTAAAATTAAAATTTTTGCAATTTCCCCTTGTACCTGCTGGAACCATACGGAAAAATTAATTTTTCTGTATTTTTCAAAAGAAAAAAAAAAAAAAAAAAAAAAAAAAAACAAATTTTCAATTTAAAAATTCTCGTCTTTGAAATTTTTCGGTTGAAAAAATCTCTCATAATTACTAATTTCAAAACTTAATTTTGATGGTAAAAAAAAAAAGAAAGGATTGGGGCTAATTTCTCTCTCTCTCTCTCTCTCTCTCTCTCTCTCTCTCTCTCTTCTATTATGATATAATTAAAAAAAAAAAAAAAACAACAACAACTAGGGTATAATCATGTGAAAAATTACTTGTTTTTATTCATAAAAAAAAAAAAAAAAAACAAAATGTTCTCACTTGGCATTCTTTCCTTCAAAATTCAAAAAAATTCAAAAAAAATAAAAAGGTGAGATTTATTAAAAACAATTTATTAACGTTACATTGAAATTTATTTTGCAATAAAATTTTTTTTTAATCTGTAAACATACAATCCACAAAAAAAAAAAAAAATCAATGTTTTAAATCGTTTCACGCCTTCTTCAAAGTTATTAAAAACAAACAAATAAACAAACGAACAAACAAACGAGGAAATTAATTATTACCATTGTTTCAAATCAGTAACGTATTTTTTTTTTTTTTTTCATTATTATTATTTGAAATCAAAAAAAAAAAAACCATAAATGGTAAAATTATAATAGTCTCATGATAATAAACTATTTCAAAATTTTGAAATCATTTTATTATTATTATTATTATCATTGTTTTCGTTACAAAAAATTAATGTGAAAGGTTGTTGTTGTTTTGATTCTTGTGTGTCAAATAAAAGGGCGGCAGGATTATTATTATTATTATTATTTATTTCAAACCATTTGACGTAATATATTGACTCGTGGCTTTTTCCTTCTCTCTCTCTCTCTCTCTTAAATTCAAATGCAAATCGTTCAAAGGTCATCATCATCATCATCATCATCATCAATTTAATATTCTCACGATAATATATTACTCAGCCTGAATTTAAATAAAATATTTTTTATCATTTAAAAATTTTACTTTTTAAATTTCAATCCATCACCTCCCCCCCTTTTTTTTTTCTTCAAAAGGAATTATTTTAATTAAAAAACTCAATTATAACTCAGGTATTTTTGATTTTGGTTTAAATCGTTATCACGTACCTTAAAGTTAAACAAAGTTTTTTTTTTTTTGTTTTAAAGCCCCTCGTTTTTCTTTTTCTTTGCGTTATTCAAAGAAGTGAATAAAAAAAACAATCATTGAATCTTTTATTTTTTTTTGTTTGTCGTGACTTCCGGAATTATTATTTTACTAAAACTGAATACCTTACCAGGTTCGATTACGTTTTCAATTTATATTTAAACTCTCTTTTTAAAAAAAAAAAAAAACTTTTTAAATACACATGTGCGTTATATTCATGCATAAACAAACAAAGAAAAAATGCCAATTAAAAACTTGTCAATGAATTTTAAAGGTTTTTAAGGTTTTTAAGGTTTTAAGGTTTTTTTTAAATACTCTTTAATTATTATTATTATAATATAAAACCCTTTGTCTGTCATTTTTAAGTTGTCCAATGAATTGACAAAAAGGTGTGAATGAATTGGAAAATCATATTATATGGTAATTATTTTACACACTTTTTTTAAATTTACGAGAGACTTATTATTATTAGGGGTTGGGTTAAATTATGATAAAGTTCAATTTCACCAATAAAAAAAAAAAAAAAAAAAAATATTATATTAAATAATTTGTAATAAAAAAAGATAAAATCTGATCAATAAAAAATGACATGTCCGCGTAATAAAAAGAAAGAAAGGAAAAAAAAAAAAAAAAAAGAAAAAAACTTTGAACAGCATGAACTTATACAATTTCTCATAAATTTTTTTTTTGGTTTGCTCCATGTTTTTAAACATGATTGGATTTCGTAATAAGAATAAAAAAATTTTTAATTATGTTCACACAGCAATAGGTTGTTGCGTAATTATTTTTATTACAGGAAATATTTTTAAAAAAATTATGATTTTTTTTCTTCCATCTTAATAAAGATAATAATTTTTTCATAATAATCCCAAATTTAATAATACTCATCAAAAATACGGAGCAAAATTTAATTTAATGATTAACGATTTTTAAAAATTTAAATTTTATCAAATAACATTTATTATTATTAATCATTATTATTCACGTCGTGTAATATCATATTTTTCGAAACGTAAAATCGTTTAACGGTCGAATTGTCGAATTCTATTGATAAAAATTAATTTATTATTTCCTTACGCAGAAAAAAAAAAAAAAAATTTGAAAAAAATAATAAAAGTAAATTTAATGGAATCCATTACGTGAATTAATATATTTTCAAATTTTTTTGAATTTACTTTTATTTGCAAGTAAATAAATAAACTTTGGCTTTTTAAATTATTATTATTATTATTATTATTATTATTATTATTATTCAGAAAACGCCTTGAAGTCGTCGCAGGTATCGAAATATTTTAAGGCTTTTCAAGACTTTCTCTAAAAAATAAATGCCCTTGTCTTAAAGGAAAATAATAATAATTTAACACCCCAGAAGAATTTAATTAAAATAATATTAATAATAATAATAATAATATTTATTAATAGAGTTTTTGTCAGAGCAAAAATTAATTCGACTGTTTTTTAACAAAAAAAAAAAAAAAAAAAATGTCCCATTCGATACTTAATTTTATTTTGATTATCGTTTTATTTATTTATTTATTTATTTATTTATTATAGTTATTGTTAAAGGCTCGAATGAAATAATAAATAAAGGGAAAAAGTAAAATTGGAATTTCCACATAGAAAAAAAACTTTATTAGTCACTTAGTTAGTTGAAGGGATGACGTGAAACCATTATTTATATTGATTTTTTAGGGTCGTAGGGAATTGTGAACATTTGGCACATAAAGTTAACTTGAATTTACTACTTGAGAATAAATTTTTTTTCCAACGAAAGTAAATTTTAAATTTTAATTTAAAAAAAAAATAAAAACAAACATTGAAAAAATTATGATACAGTAAATAAAAAAAAAAAAAAATATTTAAATTTCTTTTTTTAATTCATTGATTTTTTTTTTTTTTTGTAAATTACACTGCACAATGCAATTCATTATCAAAAACCTATTAAAAACCTTGAAAAATATTTATCATTTTTAAACATAAAAAATAAAATATTTTTAATTTAAAAAAAAAAAAAAAAAAAAAAAAAAATGACGCCAACATTACAGGCGCCAAAACAGTGAAGCAGCAAATGTGATATAATTGTTTGTGAAAATATTATAAAATTATTATTACAAAATTGAGTCAGTTTTGATAAATACCAATATTGTAATATTAGAGAGAATAAATTTTTTATCTAATTTAAAAAATACTCGATAATTATCTATTAGATATTTATCGATATCATTTGATATTTTAATGAATTTAAAAAACTAAAGAATAAATATTTTAGAGTAGTTAAATTTTAACTAATTAACATAATTAATTAACTTTTAAACGGTTGAAAAAAAAAAAATAATTTAATGTATAAAATTAATTATATAGAACAAATTTAATTTTCTTTTTTTTTAAAATTGAATTTAGTACCCAAAATGCATAATAACTGACAAATTGAAAGAAATGCAAACTTATGATCCAAGTGCATAATATTCTAAAGAATAAAAAGTAATGAAGTAAATTTTAGTATAAAACTAAATTTCTTCAAATAATATTTTAAAGAGTTTAAATATATTATTAAATTGAAGTTTAAACTTATTAATTTAAATATTCATTTTTTAAAATAATAATGGTGATAATTTTATAATGAAATTAAAATGTGCAACTTAACTAAAAAAGTTAAAATTTTTTGGCATTTTAATACTTTATTACCTAAATAAAAAGAGTAGTAAATATATATATATATATATATATGAAAATGAATTAAATTTTTGTGAGCCATAAGAAAAAATAATCGTAGGTAATTGAAGTATTTAGTAAAATCTAAAAAAAAGCTAGAATTAAATATATTAAATTAACACATACCTTAACATTGAATAAAATTTCAAACAATGCGTTGATACATTATATTGAATTAAACTACACGATGTTGTTATCATAACATTTTAAATATCGGCCCCCTACTAACATATTATATTTGAATGTTAAATTTAAAAAAAAGGCCACTACAACAATATATTGAATATAGATTTTCACACTTTTTTTCTTTAAAATATATAATATCTAAAAAATATATTCAATAAAAATAACACACTTCTAAAACAATACGAGAACAGTGTCCACAGTGGAAAAATTCCATAACTAAAGCTAATTAAAACAAGGGTGCCAACCTTAAAATTCAAACAAAAGGGGGCCCAGAAAATAGGGAAATTTTATCACAATTATAATATGATCTGCATTATGTGAACAGTGTGTTGGGCAAAAAAAAAAAAAAAAAATTTAGTCAATTCTCATTACACAAACATGTTGAATAATCATTCTATTTGAATTATTAAATTGTTGATTCTTGTGAAGATTTTATTCAACTTCATATTAATTGGTGAGTTGCGGACTAAACTTTAAATGAGCTGGTGGGAAAAGATCAACAAAGAATGTGTTATTTTGGCTAATTACCGGCACGCCATTGGTGAAGCCGAGTGAAGCCGCGGATTATTGCCATGATTGTAATGTGAAGCATTCTACCTAAATCATAATCATCGTTACCATACGGATAGACGAAAAATTTTGTTGGTTTTTTAGAACTGTGAATTAATTAAATCAATTCTGCTTGTCAATATTTAATTTATTATATCCCTTTGGACGGACTAAAATCTGTGCTTTGAATCATTTCCACTTTTGTCAAAATGTCAATAGTGTTTTTTTAAAAATTTTAAAAACTTTATTTTTATAAAATTACTGGGGTTAAAAATTTTTTTTTCTGCTATCTTTACGTGAAAATTATTCGGAAAAGGTTTATAAGTTAATTGTTGATAAAGGGTGCGCAATTATTAATTATTAAAACAAATTTCAAAATATCATTTAATGTCGTTTCATTTTAAAATCTGTGAATATTTTTTTTTTCAGGTGCAATTGTTATTTTATTTGCGATATTGTAACTTGAATCAGCATTGATACAATTTATTGGTCAATCATTAATGTTACAGTAGTAATTTTATTATATGTGCAATTTATTACCTATTATTTTCAGAGGCTAAATTTTAAAGACATTTTTTTTTCAACACTAATCTGAAAAAGCATTAGGGAATTTTTATTTATTTATAAAACAACATTCAATTTATTTTAATTTGACTGTAATTATTACTTTGAATATGCGTAAATAAATTACTCATATTTTTAGAAGAAAATTGATTTAAATACAACTTTGTTTCGAAAATTAATATCACAGCAAATATTAAAAGTTGACTATTTTCACACAAATTGTATAATTTTTAAAATTTGTTTTATTAACTACTGAAGTTATTAACAGTTATAAATATTTTTTTAGCTAATTTAATTTTTTCTCCTTTATCGATTTTATCATTTACACTAATTTGAATTTATTTTTACATAATAACTTATAACTTTGAATTTAAAATATTATTTACGAAATTATTATTGAAAATAATGTTTGAGTTCGGGTTGACTTTTTAAGTAAATTGAGTATTATGTATAAAGGTAGTTTGGTATGTGACTTTCCCTATTATAAAATACAACATTTTGATACTTATTGTTGCATGTTTCAGGTGACAAAGTGGATTTGATTCAATTTTTCAGTTGTTGAAAATCCCTGTTAATAAAACCCTGACAAAACCCATTTGAAATTGAAATTAATTAAGTGAAGTTTACAGACAGAAGAAAAGTGAACTAGGACTTTCTACTTTTAGTGTTGTATAGTTTCTTTTTGTATAAGTGGGAATTTTATATTAGTTATAAAAATGAACTCTACACAAGGTTTTCATTTGGAAGTATTTAAATGTGTATTAAAAAATGTTTTTCCTCTTAATAAACATTCCACATTTTGGAGTGAAATTTTTTTCGTGACCTGTAGCCGTCCCATATTATTTTTAATAAATTATGTAGCTACGATGATATATTTCTCTCAGGGACATTTTGTGAAAAACGACGATGGCTGACACTCTGACCGACAACAACGCCGATGAACCAACGCTCAATATAAATGTCAAAGAGGAGGACATGAAATTTGATGATATGACTTATGATACAAGAAGTGAAGCTTCATCATCGTCCAGCGAATCTCCTAGTATCAGTTCCGTTAGTTCAAGCTCTTCCAAGGACGGTAGGCACAAGCGCCATAAACAAGAAAAATCTTCGCCTCCTCCTGTTGAAGAAAAACGATCTCCTCCTAAACCCGTTGTTATCCCCACAAAAGGAAAATCTTATGATTACATAACAAAATTAAATTATCTTTTTAGAGATACTAGGTTTTTTGTTATTAAAAGTAATAACTTGGAGAATGTGGTGCTGTCGAAAGCGAAAGGGGTTTGGTCCACTCTTCCACAGAATGAAGCCAAATTAAATCAAGCTTTCCAAGAATCTAGAAATGTTTTACTTATATTTTCTGTTAAAGAAAGTGGTAAATTTCAAGGGTTCGCTCGGTTGCACGGCACGTCTCGAAGGGATGTTCCTCCGATTTCTTGGGTTTTGCCGCCTGGGTTGTCAGCCAAAGCTTTAGGAGGAGTTTTTCAAGTTGATTGGATTTGTAGAAAAGAACTTCCTTTCACTGCCACCGCGCATTTGTATAATTCTTGGAACGAAGGTAAACCAGTTAAAATCGGGCGGGACGGTCAAGAAATCGAACCTAAAGTGGCCGAAGAGTTATGCAGACTATTTCCTGAAGATGAAAATATCGAAATGACTCCCATATTGAGAAAATCCAAAGAAGCTTCTAAATTAGGGCGTTCAAAAGTATCCAAGCGAGAAAGTCATTCTTCGAGGGGAAATTTCCCATCCAAAATATCTTTTTCGCGGGGTCGAGGTAGCGGAAGGGGTAGGAGAAACGTATACCTTTGCCCTCGTTCTAGAATAAATGCTAGTAACGGTCATTCCCTTCCATTTAAGAGTATTAGGGACTCGGGAAAAGGCGAGTACTGGCGAAACAGATCGTATCCAGGAACTTTAGATGATTCCTACGTCAATTATATGAGAACTTTCCCTGGAAATTTACCACCTCTTCCCTACGGTCCTCCAGGATTGTATCCGCCACCTAGCACCTTTGAACCTCCGAGATACTACGATGGAATTCCTCCTCTTCCTGATTTTCCGCCACCTCCGCCAGTTATTCGTAGCGCGTCACATTCAGACAAAAGATCCTACGATAGGTCCGTAGATGAATTTTTATGGCGGACAACGGAACGGAATCGTGAAAGATCGAGAACGCGAAGTAGGGAACGCGATAGAGATAGGGAGCGAGATCGAAGGGATCGGGATTACGATAGAGAAAAAGAAAGAAATAGGGATCGAGAGAGGGATAGGGAAAGAAACAGGGGTAGAGATAGAGATCGTGAGAGGGATGTTGAAAGGGATAAAGGACGGGAAAGAGAAAGGGATCGAGAGAGACACTGCGACAGTAGAAGACTCTCGAGATCAAGGTCAAAATCTAGGGGACGGAAAAGATCCCGTGATAGGCATAGATATCGTGAACGTAGGTAATTTTAATATTTAAACTAAGACTGTTATATAATTTAAAAAAAAAAAAATTTTGTAAAATAAGATGGATAGATAGATTTTGGAAGTTTTGTATAAAATTTTTTTTTGTGCTAGTAAATTAAAATTTTTTTTTTTTTAAATTTAAATAATTGAAAGACCTTAAAATTAAGGTTTTTTATTTTATTGTCAGCAAAAAAACTTCCAATTTCTGTTACTCTCTTTTCTCTCTCTATTTTATTTTCAAAAAGTATTATTATTAAGGTATATTTTTGTTCTAAAAGCAGTTTTAGTAAAAAAAAAAAAAAAAAAATATGTAATTTTTTTTTTTTTTTTTTTTTTTGTATTTTTTAATTCTTAGGTTAAATTTAATATTATTTTTTTTTTTCTAGGGAAATTTGTATGATAAGACTTTAAACTTTAAAAAAAGTTCATATTTAATTTTTATCATCTCTTTTTGAATTTATTGAATAAAAATTGTGGAATTATTTATCATTTAAATGATAAATTTTTGTAAATTTTTACATATTGAAAAAGGAAAAATAAAATCAGTATAAACTTAACGAATAATATAAATTTATATAAATAAAAAAATTTCATCGAGTTTACTTAGCAATAATAATAATAATAATAAAAAAAAACGTTCATTAATTGATTTTTTAAATAATGTGACGTATATTATTTACTATAATAAATTAAAGGAAAAAATAATTTAAACTGTAAATAAAATTGTAAATAATATTACATTAAGATCTCTTCTCAAATAATTCGATATATATATAATTTTAAATTTAAAATTTACAAAAAAAATGTGTTAATTGTATTATTATTATTATTTTTTTTTTTTATTTCTACGATTGAAAAAAAATTTTAATTGAGTTACCGTTTGAAATTGTTTATGATTTCGTTTATTTTGTAATACACTGTTTAAATTAAAAGCAATAAAAATTAAAAAAAAAATCAAAATTGATACAATACAAATTCTATCTATCTATGTATATTTAAGTGTGATAATTTTAAAATTATGTGATTTATTAATAAAATTATTTGAAAAAAGAGAAAAATTATGCCTACGTGTTGGTTTATTTAACTTGGGGAAAATATCATAATTTGAAAATTGATAATAATAATAATAATAATAAAAAGATGAAAGAATTTTTTTTTAAATTTTTTTATTAATTTTAACACAGACTAAGTAAAACTGAGAAATGAATATAATTTAAACTTAATTGAAGTACTTTAATTTAATTTAAATCGATCGATTATTATTTATAAAATACGTAGTAAATTTTTGTTTTATTATTATTTTTATTATTATTTACAGAGTAAATTTAAAGTTTGCATTTGTTTTTTTTATTTATTTATTTAGAAAAGGACCAGAGTCTTTAAATATTTACAAATTTTTAAATAAAAATTGTTCAAATTTAATTTGATTAATTATAACTTTAAATATAACAAATATTTAAAAATAATTTTTTTTTAATTAATTAAAAACTTAATAATAATAATAATAATAATGTTTTATTTATTTTGTTTATTTTTTTTCTGTGTATTTTCTTTTGGGAAAATGTATATGTCACATTGATTGATTCCATCAATTAAATTTTTATTATAATTTTATTTTATTTTCAAATAAAGCATTTATTTTAAAAGAAAAAAGAAATGTAACCGATCAATTAAAATAATTATTTACTTACTATTTGATTTTTTTCTGTTGAAATTTAAAAAAAAAAGTTAATTATTTTTATAAAATTTAGGCTTATGTAACTTAACAAATATATTTACTAAGTAATAATAAATTAAGAAATTTTTTTTCAAAATGAAGTTTGGCAGTTATTTTATTCCAGTAAAATATAAAAGGTTCCCTGGAAAGAATCTAATTAAATAATTTAATCCAGTATATTTACAATAAAAATTATCATTTATTTATATAATTCAAGTAAATTTTTATAATTAAATTTGGAAAAATAGCACCTTATAGAAATGGCAGCTTGAGTCGTTTTAAGTTCGTTTCAAACAGAATATCTATTTTAAGAAAAGAAAACAAATGTATTTTTAATTAGTTATTGATTTTAAAAATGAGGAAATAATTTGATAGATTATAAAAGTAATGAAATTATTTTATATTTAAACAATTGGATAAGATTTTAAGAAAAATTATTTGAATCTGCGAATCGAATAACGGTAAGCCATGCGTACCACCGTGTTTTACTCTATTGTTTCTTTAGGGAATTTTAATACATAATGTTGTCAGTTTAAATTCAAAGAAGCCGGTGTCGGGTGTGGGATATTTTTATCCTAAGGAATGTATATTTTTTTTTAATGTTTTCGTCGCGTAAACGTAAAAATTTTATTTAATTAAAACTTTTAATTTATTTAAATATAAGTCATCTTCGTATTATTTTAAATATTTACCATTTGTTTGAAAAAGTATGTTTGGGTCTATGTCAATTTAAATACAAAATGGCTGCCTTGATTGAAATTGTTGGGTGCTTTGAGGTCATTTGAAAGTGTAGTTTTGGAAATGTCATTTACTTATTTTGTGTACAATTACATATATATCCCTGTTTAACTGTAAACGGTTGGGCCAAAATATTATATTTTAAAGTTTATTTTAAGTTTAAGTGTTTAAATGCCAAAAGTATTTTAAGTGCAGTGATGGATACAATACAATTAATTAAATTATAAAATAGGGATTGATCATTCCAATAATGGTAAGTAGTCATAGTTGCTAGTAACGCGAGTGAAAACTTTAAAACAAATTTTATTAAAGTAGATTGGATATTTATTTAATTGTTTGTAATTAATTTATGCCTTATACCATACATAGTTTGCAAATTTTTTTATTATTATAAAAATTTTACATTATATTTTATTATTTTTTATCATTAATATTAAAGAGTAAGTAAAAGCAAAGCTTTTTTTAGTGCAGCTTCTTCTTTTCGAACAAACTAACTACAGATCACTGATTGACAAATATGTGTAGATGAACAGTTAGAATGGTAAAAGGTTATTTTTTGTATAACTAACTTTTATTTCTGGCAATGTAAAAAGTTTTAAAAATGTAACTTATTTCAAGTAAATTACATCTTATTTAAAACTTTATTGATATGTAAACTTTTTTATTTCATTAATGTGAAATATATAAGATCTATTATATGTAAATTAAGTTTTCAAACTTAAAATATGTTTTTCATTATAAACTTTTAAACACATACTTATATAGATAATAATTATACAAAGTTACTTTTTCTATATCGAGTATTTTATTTAATATTGTTACAAATTTTGAAAACAAAAAAGGACAAATTTTGTGTTGCATTGCGAAATTGTGTGTTAACTTTAGTTATTTTAATAAATTTCCTCAACAAAATCTAAAGATACCTTAAAATTTTATTTATTTTTAAATGAAGTGTTGTGTCCATTATTTTATTTTAAAACCCCACAGTTAATTTATTTTTCTTTTAAAAATTTTGTTTACCAAATTTATTAGTGTTATTTTTATTTTCCTGCTTATAATTTTAATTTTGACATTTAAAATTAATTATTACTTTTCTGCACTCACAAAAAAAATTTATTTTTTATTATTGTATCTTTTATTTATACAAATTTTTTTCCATAAAATATGAAAGTACTTTTTTAAACATTGGTTTAAGCATGGGAGATTTTTAAAATCATGTTTTAGAGTTATTAAAAAAAAAAAAAAATTTCTTTCAAATCCAACGCCTAGAATTTTACACAAAACAATTGTTGTTTATTTACCTGAAAATATATTCTTTACATTCTTTTCTTTTTCTGTGTAAATCACTTTTTCAAAATTATTTTTAAAAATTTAATAGTTTTTTTTTTTTTTTATTATATTTGATATTTGATAATGAAAGTCTCTTTATGTTTGCATGTGTGATTTTTATAAGTTCAATGTGTGATAAAAATAAAATTTTATATTTTTGAATTTACCGTTAATTTATTTTTATTAATTTTAAAAATTTTAGAAATTTTAGCAGTAAATTAAAAAAAAAAAAATTAACGTGTGATATTGTAAATTTTAATACTGATCATACCTTGTAAAATCTTTAATTTAATTAATTAATTAATTTATTTTTATATCAAAAATTTCTAATTTAAAAAAAAAAAATAAATAAAAATCAATTTGATGTTGAGCATGGCTACACCTGTGTGAAAAAAATGATAAAATCAAAAGTGAAAGTAATTTAAAAAAAAAAAATTGTTTAAACTTTTAAAAGAATAATCAAATATGTTATGGATTTGATTAGAGTAAAAGTTGTGTTGGTGAGAAGTAATATAATTTAATCAGTTGCCAAACCATGTTTTTTTTTTATTTTTGTGACTGAAAGATAAATTTTTTTTATTTATTTTTATTTGATTTTGATAAACGGGTTCATCAGTGATCATAGGTTACATTTAGAATTGTTTACCTCAGTTGTAAAAAAATTATTATTATTATTATTATTATTATTATTATTATGATTAGTTAATAGTTATTCGGATTTTTTTACTATGATTTTTTGATTGTAAAAAAAAAAAAAAGAAAAAAATGCGATCATCATGCGATTTTTGTTTTTTTTGTTTTTTTTTTTTCCAGTTTCATATTTACATGGGGTCATTTTCTGGCCTAGACTTTAAAACCGCATTCCTGGAGGAAAAATAAAAGTTTTCCTTTTCGGTAAGTTTTTTTTTTTTTTTAAAAAATATTTTATTTGACTTGTTTTTTTTTGAGGGGGAAGAGGGGGGAGGGTAAAAATTAAAAAAAAAATATTTTTAGTGATTCGTTTTTTTTAAAATTTTAAATTTAATAAAAAAAAAAAATGTTATGTTATAGACACAAGGGGAAAAAATATTGTAATATTTTTTTTTTTTTTTTTTTTAAAAATTAAACCTTGCTTTATCATTTAACTGAAAAAAAAAAGGGGATTCGGTTATTATCCTAATCGTTTTCGATACTATCATCGTCATCATCGTAAAGGGTTTAAAAAAAAAAAAAAAAAAGTTTTATAGTAAAGTTTAACACACCCAAAGTTTTGCCCAACAATACAATATGAAATTTATTTGAAAAAAAAAAAAAAAAATTCGGTTAATAAATTAATGAGTACTACTACTACTACTACTACTCAATAATATTCTCATTAAAACTTGTTTTGTTTTTCTTACCGAGCAAAGTTTTTTTTTTTTATTTCGATGAGAAAAATTTATTTATAAAAAGTCCTGTTAGATAAAAAAATAATTGTGCGAGAGTTTGAGGTTGTTATACAAGTCAAAATTTGAAAATTTTAATTTTAATTTTTTTTTTTCGAGAACATGATATATATTTCGAGAAAAATTGCTTTTTACATGTTGTTGTTGTTGTTGTTGTTGTTATTGGTTTCGAAGATAATAGAAAACTTTTGAAAATATTTAATTTTTATAATGAAAAAAAAAAACATTGAGACGAATTTAAATAGTTTTTTATTACAATTAAAAAATTTGTTGTGTGTTAAAAAAAGTTTTTTTTTAAGTACTCAGGCTACGAAATTTTTTTTTTTTTTAAATATATATAAATAAATCATTTATTTAAATTTGCATTTCTGACAAATGAAAAATGAAAAAAAAAAAAAACAATTTTTTTTTTTTTTTTTTGACCGAAAGTTAAGTTTTTATTAAAGAAAGTAGATAGATATTCGATTATAACTATTTTTTTCATAGATCGCTAACATCACATGTAATTTTATTAAAATTCAATTTATTCAAAACTTTGTTTAACTTATCTATAAAAAATTATTATATATTATTATTTAACATTTAAAAAGCAATTCTTTAATATGTTTTCTCTCGTATCGACCGCCGTATTGCAGGTAATAAAATTTATTAAGGTAGCCAATATGAAAAAAAAAAAAAAAAAAAAAACTTTTCTCTCTCTCTCACTCTCTTTCTATCTATCTCGCGGAGATTGTTTGTTTAATCGTGAAAAAAAAAATGGTGTCCCATTGAATTTTGATTAATAAAATTTATTTTTTGTACGTGTTGACAATTTTCTTTCAGACAAAATTAATAATTAAATGAAATCAAAACAAAATAAAATGTCTGGAAATGAAATAATTCGAGAGGAAATTTTGGCTTATAGCCGGAATCCGAGACGCTTAACTGATGATTTGCATGTTCCTATAACGAAAAGAAAAATCATTGCCATGTTGAGAGTCAACTATGAGAAATCATTTGATGAGGTATCATTTGTGTGTCTGGTTGGTTGAACAATACACTTCCCTTAAATTTTTATTTATTTAAGGGATGAAAATTCACATTTTTATGTAAATACGTGTACATATGGGTTGTGTGTATGTTGATTGTCGTATTGTGAGTATTGAGATTAATAAAAATTGTGAATCGATGATGAATTACACTATTGTGGTGAAGGGGGTTGTGTTTTATAATATTCTTTTTGTGTACAAAAAAAAATTAAGATATTAAAATTTTTTTTTTTCGTGATCCGGGCATTACATAATTAATAATATTAAATTTACGTTTTCGTTGCGATCCATAATGTATTTCCCCTTTTGAATTTGGTTTTTTTTTGTAATCATAATAGAGAATGAATATAAATGATGGCGAATATTTCTTTAATCACGTCATAGAAAGTGAATTTTACCTTAGATTGTATTAAGTTTTAATTTTAATCACGAAAAAAAAAAAAAAAAACAATTCTTTTAGAAAATCAATGAAATTATTATTATTATTATTTTTTTTTTTATTGAAGTAACATCATGTAAAAATACATTTTTTTCTTTCACTTTTACGAAAACTTTTACGTGTAATTAAAAAATTTTAAAAAATTCTTTTTTTTTTTTTCTCTCTCCATATATTGAGGAAACCGTTACAATTTATTTAAATTTTCCGATATAACGATCGAAGTAAAACAATTCTTTACATAATTCTTACCGAGTATGTAATATTTATGAATAAAAAAATATTTATTTGTGTAATGGGCTTACATAAAATTTAATTTAATTCATAGAAAAAAAAAATACCATAATGATAATATCTTCATGTCAATGAGATAAAATAAAAAATTAATTAATTAAATGTAAAAAAATTAATAACGAAAAAATTTTATTTTTTACACCGCGTTCTAACGTCTTGGTAAAGCATGTAAATAATGGTCGAATAATGTAAAAATAACAATAATAATAATTTTGCACGTTACGTTGGTGATAATAAAAATATAAACCTTACGGGGGTAAAAAAAAAAAAAAAAAAAATTTAAACGTCTTTACGTGATTTAATTTTACGATTTTCCGACATTTCTCTAATTTGAGAGGATTTTTGACAATATTATATCAGCCGGCCATTTTAAAATTAATTTTTAATGGTGTTGCATAAAAAAAAAAAAATAATATTTATCAACTAACTAAGTTATCAGTTATTGTTTTACTTATTTTTTTTTTTTTTTTGCAACTCTAAATATCTTTTTAAAGTGAAAAATTAAATAATTAAAATCTTAGACGAAAAGTAATTTGAAAAAAAAGAAAGAAAAGAAAAGAAAAACTAATTAATTTTTTATTGTTTTATTATAGTAAATTATTTGATAATTATAGGGTTTTTTTTTTTGTTTAATTAAAAGGATTTAATTTTTATTGTATTTTTTTAATTAAATATTTGGCGAATTTTATATTTATGTATAACATAAAAGCACTGGAGTTTTACAAATTTAAAGATTTTGTCATTTGAAATTTCAATGTAAAATGTCGTAGACTGATTGCCACTAACAAAATACTGAATTTTTTTTTTATTGATTTATTACAAGATTACTAATTTTTTGTTGTTGTTGTTGCAATGTTTAAACATTTTGATTGGGGTTATTGTTTATAAATGTTTTATTTATTTATATAAATTATGTATATAATCACACTTAATTTTTACACGGAATTATTGATTGTTTTTTGTTTTAACTTTAAAAAAAAATAAAAAAAAGGTTTTTATTTGTAAAAGAAGCGAAATTTGTTTTTTTTTTTTTTTTAATATGATTTTTCTGTTTGATTTTCACAGAAACCATTGGAAGTGAAAATGGAAGATAAAAGACCAGGACGATTTGCTGGTTCAAAAGTATCACAAATTGCCAACATTTTTCAAAGCATGGCACCCGGAAAAGAAGATGGCGTGTTATTAGTCGGTGGAGCGCGAACTCCCGACAGTCCCAAATTGTCGCGAAAAGATGATCCTTTTCGGGAATTATCAAAGGAACCCGTGACCGTGACGGTTGTCAGAACGGAAAGTCACGTGGCCAGATTTAACAATGCTCGTGCAATGTTTGAAAAGCTCGGAGAGGAAAATCAAAAAGTTCACCTTCGATCTCCCGGATCAATCACGCCAAAGTCACTCACGGATCGACGTTCTCGGTCTAGTTCTGCGAATTCTTCTGACGGAAACTCGACATCACCTTCTCGTAACAAACAAATTTCTTCAAGATCTCCATCTCCGTCGTACCAAAGCAATAGAAATTCATTAACGAACGGTCACGATGGTTTCAATCATTTGGCAAATAATAAAATAGCGAATAGATTAGACGCTCCTAAGCAAAATTATCTATCGAAAGAAATTAACAAGGGTAAAGAAAACGAATGTAATTTATTTGAACCTTGTAAGGCGGCCGTTTTGAAAAACTGTTTGGAAAATAAAAAGAAAATAGACTTGGAAAAACCGGAGAAACCGGAAAAACCCGAAAGGAAAATAAATAATTTGATCGAAAAACAAAGGAATTGGCCGAGTCATTTTTCAAATCGTAGGTCCACATCGAAAATAAGCAATGAGAATAGGAATAACGTGGGAGAGACTAAAACTACCATTATCAATAGTGTTGTTAATCGTGTTAGTGCAGTGACTAAAAATAATAATAATAATAAAATCGGTAGTGAACCAACGTATTCCGTACCGGCGTCAAAATTATGTTCTTCTCCATTGAGTCCCAACAGCCATGTGCCATATCCTCCTATATCACCATCACCGTCGATGATGATGATGATGAGCTCGCAAGAGGAAAAGCAAGAAAAAGAAGTTCAGGAAAAAGTTTGCTTATCTATGGGTAAGTCTCACATATCAATACTTTCTACATTTTCTCTCGTACATGCCTCCATTTTTTATATTCGAATACATGTTGCTCGGTGAAAAAAAAAAATTTTTTTCAATCGGCAGAATAATGTTTTATTTAAATTACAGTTTTAAATGAAAGTTTTTGATTGAATTGAATTATTTTGAAGGTTATTCGTGTGCAAAGAGAAAGAGAGAGAGAGAGAGAGAGAAGAACGTAAGTGCGTGTGTGTGTAGGTGTACATGATTGCGTATCGCGAGTTTATTAAAAATTGAATTATGGTATCAATCCTTTTTCTCTTTATTGTTAATAATTATCTCCTATGTTTTAATGTAGGTGTTGAGTTTGGTAATTATTTTATGCGAAACTCAAAAAAAAAATTTTCCAACAACTTTTCTCTCACATATTAAACTTTTCCTATTGATTTTTCTAACCTTTTTAAAGTTTTTTTTTTTCATCAGGGAGGTGGGAGGGGGAAAACTTTTGCAGAAAATTATATACCAAATATTATAAGACTTTACGTGTAGGTGTTTTAATATTGTGTAAATTACACGATAAAAAAAACCGTTGCGAAAATTTTTTTTTTTTTTTTTTTACCCCCTCAGTCGAAAGAAAGGACGACATATTTTTTTAAACCTTTGTTATTATATCATTATTATCATATATAAAATCAATATTATAAATGCCAGGGTAAATGTTAAGAGAAAATGCATTTTTCAGCGTGAATATGGGAAAAAAAATAAATATATTTTCGAAGAGAGGAAAAGGTTTTTATCGGATCGGTTCGAAAGTTGAATTTAAAAAAAAAAAAATGTATGAAATATGGCAAAAAGTTACAAGGTGTGACGTATTCAAGGAAGAAATTAAGAATAGAATTTAATAAAAAAAAATCTTTTAACGCACTGCTTACCAGTTCAGTAAAAAAAAAGATTTCAAGTTAAAAAAAAAGAGAAATTTTTGAATGTATAATTCAAAAAAAAGAAGGTATTAGGCAATAATTAGAAACGTTTGTTGTAATTTATTGTAGCGAAAACTTGTTTTCGGGGCGGAAGTATGTGGATACTAATTTTTTTTTCTTTTTCTTTCTTTTCTTGCCTTTTTGTAACTTTCGCATTCACACTATTATTATTATTATTATTTTGGAATGGATTTTGTAAAATATTTTTAAATAAATTTAATTTCGATGATTGAAAATAAATCCCATTACTATTATTATATCGGAGGGGGGAGGGGGGAAAGAAAAAAATTTAGGTTGAATGATGTCGGTTGTTTGTATAGAACTTGATCGGTTGTATAACTTTGCTCTAGTTTTCTTTTTTCTGTTTTTAATTAAATATTATTCATTATATATATATTTATATTAGGATGATTCGAATTTGTGTTTTATTATAAAAAGGTATAAAATAGAAAACAATTACCTTTGTATTTAAAAAAAAAAAAAAAAAGTTAAAATAACAGTTTTGTAATGAAGTATGTCACTTGTTTTCTCTCTCTCTCTCTCTCTTCTCTCTCTCTCTCTCTCTTACGGGTAAATGAGACTTTTCAAGGTTCCTATCAATTATTTATTTAATTATAAAATGGTGGTGAGTAAGTTTTGTTGTGGCACGTTGCCGGGAAAAAAAAATCAAAATCAAAATAAAAAGTTTTCGAGTCCGTGAAGATGGCAGAAGTGACAATAAGGGATTATTTTAAATTTTTTGTTTTTGAGTCATTCGTTAGGAAAGGTCAATGACATCATCGCCATTAATAATAAGGGGTACGAAATGAATTTCGCGTGACGGTTTTTCGCGGATTTTCATCATCATACTAAATTTCTCATTTTTCTCATTTCATTCATCTAAATCGCTATCACTAAAGTGTTGTCGTTTTCGTTTGTTGTGGTTAACCCGTCGATATTTTCATCTCGTGTCTAATAATAATAATAATTGAAATTTAAAAAAAAAACAACTTTTTGCCATATTGGAAAATTTTTTATTTTTTCGGGAAAATTCAAAAATAGCAAATATATATGAAGATTATTGTGGGCGATGTCCTCCCACATTTATTCGTAATAAAGGTTAAATTCGTGAAAATGATGGAATAAAATACATGGAATTCGAGTAACTGTTGTGAAAAGTAGTTCACATAATAATAATGAGTTTTTTGATTTGATTTTTTTTTTTTTTTTGTTTTTGTTCTTGTTTATAGGACTTGACATTATTTACTGGACTTTTTGCTTATAAGCTAAATTGCACACACACACACACACACGCATATGATTCATATTGAATACAATGAATGAAAATAGTTTTGGCACAAAAATGGTCGTTCTATCAAAATATAAAATATATATAATTGTACATTTGATGAAATCGTTTGTTGTTTGTTTTAGAGACTTTGTATAAATCTGGGTCTAGGAATTATATATTTGAAACATGGTCTTTTATTATTATTATTATTATTATTATTATTATTATTATTATTATTACTGAGAAAGGTGAAACCATGCATTACAACAAATCAGTCGTCATAGTCTATCGTTTTTTTTTTTTTTTTTTTTTCGCGTTCATTGTGAGTGTTTTTTTCGTATCGCGAAAATAATAAGAGGTGTTTTTTTTTTATATGATTGATTAATTAATAATAAATGTGTTTTCGTTTTGCAAAGTTTTTGTGGGGAGGTAAAAGTGACAAAGGTAAATGAAATGAAAATTTCACGAAAGTTTAAATTTATTGCAAAAAAAAAAAAAAAAAAAAAAGGGAAAAGGAGTTGTGGTGAATGTCGTTGTTAAGTTGTTTCAAATGTGTAATGATTAATTTTTCTTTAGGTGTTAGGATGATTTAACAAGTTTAAAATTGATTGTTGTTGATAGGATTTAAATATAATAAATAAAGACGTCTTTGTTAATATCTCCTCGTGTTTATCACCACCTGATAATAGATTCCCCTGTGAGCATTTAAAAAAAAATGTCATTCCTGACCTATCCATCCATTTCACCTCTCGTGTTCTCACCGATTTTTTTTTTTCATTTTCGTACGTTCTAATCAGGTGAAAATCCTTCTTGACATTTTTAACATTTTAATTGTTGATGCTTGAAAAAGTGTAAACCTCAACCAACTACTAAAAGTTTCTCCTCTCAAGCTTAAAATTTTCGAATCGGAAAATTTGAAGTATAAAAAAAAAATATTTTGTTATTGTTTTCCACATTTTTTTTTTTTTCTTAAAGTATAAAACGTAAAATTCATTAAAAATGTCATTATTATTTTTATCGGAAAAATTTAATTGTGTTTTCCGAAATTATTCATAATTGCTTTTAAGGACTTTCTTAAAGTGGCGTCGATATTTTTTTTTAACGCAGTCACTCAAAGTAGTCGGTGTGTTTGTGGTTGTGTAAACAACAACCACGTGTTAAAGTGCGTGCGTTTGTTATTTTTTATGCGTGTATGTAAGTATAAAAGATAGAGAGAGAGAGAGAGAGAGAGAGAGAGAGAGAGAGAAAGAGTGAAAGCAAGGGAAAAAGAGGGAAAAAAAGAAAATTATCGAGTCATTTTATTGTAATTTTTATTTATTATTATTATTATTATTTTATTGCTGTTTTATTTAATTAAACAATCTTTTTCTTTTTTTTTTTTTTGTTCAAAAAAGGAAAAAAGGCGCGTTTTTTTTATATTAAATTTAATTGTTATTTAAAAGTTTAAATAATAATAATAATAAAAATATAATGATGCCTCATCATTTGACCCCGATCAGGCGTGTATGAATTTTTCTTTGGTTGGTAACGTATCGATTTTTTTTTTTGAAACCTGCTGGAGTATTATTGTTATTATCATCATCATCATCATCATTATCTACCCGACGACAATTTTTTAAAAATTTATTTTCATTCGGTTGTCGCATTTTTGATGGGGATTCAAAAGTTTAAAATTGGTTCGAATCGTTTTCGAAAAAAGAAAATGATAAAACAACGTGTAAAAATAAAAAATCATTTAAAATTTTTTTCTTCTTCCACAAAGAGATGACATTTAACCTTTATTGTTTTTAGCATAGGTGTTTCTTTTAAATTTGCTTTTAACCGTATGTTACGTTTTGTAACAAATCAACTTTTTTTTTTTTGTTTGCGTTAAAGTAATAATGATGATAATTTAACTGCAATCACACGAAATTTTCTCAATTATTTTTTTTATTAGAAAAGTTTCATTGATTGTATGATTTGACCCTTTTTTTTGTAGTGTAGTTTATTAAGAGTATCGCGGCTTGGCAGTAAAATCCCAAATTCTTTTCGAATTAAAAAAAAAATATTAATCGTGTGAATTAAACATACACGTGGTAAAATAGTAAACGTTGCATCCTGTATATAAAAAGGTTATTTTGTCTGTCTTTAAAATTAAAATTTACGTATAAGTTTTATTAAAATGAATTCGTGTGACCGTTACTCACGTTTAAGGATAATTTTTTTTTTTTAAGTAAAACAAAAAAATGGCGAAAAATGGCGTGAGTATATAATTTTTCTTATGATAAAACCTTATAAAAAAATAATAAGAAAATGCTTCTTCCATTCATTGTTTAATTAATGATATATGAACAAAAAGTACATAAACTCATTAATTAACAAAAAAAAAATTAGTTTTAAAGTATGTTCATAACAACGAGTAATTAATGTTAATTACGTATAAAAAAAAAAATATGTGTAAGGTGTTTTTATTATATAAAACCTCTTTTACTTTATAAAAATAAAAATAATAATAATAATCGTATGCACCGTTATATACATATTTGTATCATAAAAAAATTTTTTTAAACTTTTTTTTTTTGCTTAATTTATAAGTTGAAATTTCGAAAAAAAAAAAAAAAAAGAACCTGTTGCGATGTTTCAATGTTTTTAATCTTTTGCCACTTTGTTGTTATGTTATTAATTATGTTTCGTTTCTATAAATTTTTCGAATTGAAAAACAAAAAGTTAAGTCAAATGTTATACGAACATAACAAAACTGTTATATTTTGTTGAACGTTGTGTTGTGTTGCGTTGTGTTGAAAATAATGCTGATTTAGAACATGATCATCACATTTGCTTAGAATTTGCAAATGGTAACTTGCGCAGAAATGACTGACTGACTTTCATCCCATCCGTTCGTCCGACTGTCTTGTTGTTTTTTTCTTTTTAATTTAATTTAATTTAAAAAAAAAAAAATTTAAAAATAGAATTAGTGTGGCTCATTTATTTAACACTTGCCGCGTCGTCGTCGAAATTTTTTTTTTTTTTTTTTAAATATATATCTATATATTATTATGCAATTTGATTATAAAGGTGAAAGATGTTTCTGTGTTGTGCTTTACAGTGGGTATCGAAGGTTGTCGTCAGAGTACGCGCGTAGATTAATGCGATGACCGTTTGTTTTTTTTTTTTAAATGTTTTTTTTAGGGCGAAAAGAACCATCAGTCGTACACGATGGATTACATAAAGATGAGAAAAAAAGAGAAGAGGAAAAAAATGAAGCAGAATTGTTGGATTACGACGACTATGGCGGCGATGGCGGCGACGATGGCGACGAAGAAGGTTGTGAAAATGATAAAATAATTAAAAATGATTTGATACCACCGCCACAATTCGAAGAAAATGATCAGAGTTTAATAAAGACTGCTGTTGTTAACACGGACGATGTATCCGTTTCATCGGAATTGTACATCGATTGTAGGGTCGAACATGAAAAAACGGAATTCAGCGACGTGAACAGTTCGTTGCTTCAAGTCAAAGTCGTCGAACAGGGTCCAACTTCTTTGGCATCCGTAGATGAAAAATCATTGAATAGCAGCGAAGTGTCGACAATGACACCGGACGAAGCTGAAAAATTGCTCAGCACGAGGTTGGTAAAAGAAAATTAAATGTCTTTTTTTTTATTTTCGACTTAATAATGTAAAAAAGAAAGAAAATGGAAATTCTAAAACCACGTCCAAGCACTTTTATAACAAATGAATAAGTTAAACTATTGATGATATTGAAATTCTAATGCGAATTATTAGCTTTTTTTTTTTTTTTTGGTACCACGTGAAAATTTTTGCTGGGTTTGCCAAAAAAAAAAAAAAAGAAAAAAATTTTTTTTGTTTGATTCGTTTGATTTTTTTTTTATATATAATGCCAAGATTCTAACAATTGTAAATATTGAAAAGAAAATTTAAAAAAAATTTTTTTTTTTTTTTTCTTACCATGCACTTAGCACTAACCATTTTTCTTTTTTTTTTTTTTGTTTTTCAAATGGGGAAATTTTAAACACACCTTGAACACAGGATTATCGAAAAGAAAAGGTGAGTGAATCTATTAGTAAATTTTTATTAATTGTATTTATTATTATTATTATTCGCTTATTTTAATTAAAAAAAAAAAAATGGAAAATCATTTTGCTCGTCGAATTTAATGATTACTAGAGCACATTAATTACTCTACGATTCGATCGTTGATTATTTTAATAATCGGTCGAAAAAATAAGCAAAATGGATTTCGATTTTTTTATATATGTATTATTCGATGAATTTTCGTTAATAAATAAATAAATAAATAAATTTTTAGGGAAGCTTTATTATCTGACGAAGAAGCTCAAGAAGTTGTCAGACTTTTGTCTCCGACTATAGAATCCGAGGGCGAATGGCAACAAGATAATTCAAAATGGGTACCCCGTAATAATTCAACGGAATTATTGGAAACTCCGGTTGAAGAACATGTCAAAACAGTCGGATCGATGGATGATTCATTTGTTTACAGCAGAAGAGGTTCACATTCTGAGTCAGAAAGTGGTAATTTGGGGAGTATTAGCAGTTTGGGAGAACAAGTGAGTAGTTTTTTTTTTTTTGTTAATGTTTACAAAATGAAATTTTTTTATTTACTCCGTTTGATTTTTTCGCAGGATATCACGCCTGCGGCGGTCGAACATTACGAAGATGATCAATGTGAAACGGATAGTTATGTGAGACCGCAACCCGGTAAAGTAGTTCTCGTCGACAATGGCATGCATTTTTACGAAGACGGACATTTTTGGATGGAAGTTTCGGGTCTTCCCGAAACTGACGACGAGGAAGATGTCACGTATTCGTTTCCCGTTAAGAAAAGTTCAAAGGTGTCTTTTTCAACGAATCCCATTCGGGTTTACAGTACTTTTTCCGTTAGCGAATACGATAGGCGAAATGAAGACGTGGATCCCGTTGCCGCATCGGCAGAATACGAATTGGAAAAAAGAGTTGAAAAAATGGACGTGTTTCCGGTTGTTTTGGTGAAAGGTGCCGAAGGTTTGGGTTTGTCGATAATTGGTATGGGCGTAGGAGCCGATGCAGGTTCGTTATCGACAATTTTTTTTTTTTTTTTTTATATGTAATGCTAAAAGAAAATTTGGTGTTAAAGGAAAATTTTTTTTTTTTAAAAAAAACAGGATTGGAAAAATTAGGAATTTTTGTTAAAACGATCACAGAGCACGGAGCTGCTGCGTCCGACGGAAGAATACAAGTAAACGATCAAATTATTGAGGTGAATGGAAAAAGTTTGGTGGGAGTTACTCAGGCATACGCGGCGTCGGTTTTAAGAAACACTTCGGGTTCGGTGAATTTTTTGATCGGACGTGAAAAAGATCCCGAAAATAGTGAAGTTGCTCAATTAATAAAACAATCACTTCAGGTATGAAAACAAAGCCACTTCAGGTATAGAAACGCTAATTCTGAAATTAATTTTTTTTAAAAAACAATATTCTTTTATGAAGGCTGATAAAGAAAGAGAACAAAGACGGCAGCTCGAACAATCTGTGAGATCGGATGATAGTTCGGTAGGTTTCTTAACATCTCCGGCAAACTCATCTTCTCCGGAAGAAAGCAATAATCTTCCAGCAGCTACGGAACCCGTATCTCTCGCCGAACTGTCCTTAGCCAACCAAGAGGAATCCATTAGAATTTTACTGCAAGAGGTTGTATGCACGTTAATGTTTCTTACCAAGTTTTAATGTGACGACTCTTTACAAACATGATTATTGTTTTTCGAACTAGCTCATGGAAATTTCTGTGTCGACGACGGAAAAAGAAAAATACGTGGACAAACTTCGAGAGTTGGGTTTACGATTGAGAGATTCCGAACGTCAACTACATTCTGTTAAAAAGGAAATTCGAACGTATCAAGATATTTTGGAACAATCGCAAGGTCAACAAATAGCTTTGGAAAAGAAATACACGAAGGCTAAAAAACTTTTGAGAGAGTTTCAGCAAAGAGAAGCGGATTTACTTCACAAAGAAGAATTTTACATGCAATTACTACAGGAAAAAGACACGGAATATAATGCCCTTGTTAAAACGTTAAAAGACAGAGTAGGTTGAGACGTGAAAATGTCAATTAAGTTCAATTTAAAATAATTTCTCGGATTCTTTTTGTTGGGTGTATATATATAGGTAAATTACGTACATTTTATAGATAATACAAATTGAACAAGAACTACTTTCCACTCAGCATGCTGCAGGCTTACCCGTTTCCTTGCCATACGATAGCACTGCTTTAAAGCAACTAACACCTCAAATGACAAGAAAAGTCGTTCCCCCCGTTAAACCCCTCACTCTAGACACGGAACTTTCGGATACTGAAATATCGGACATTTCTCCCGACGACGGAGACAAGACTGCAACGGTTGAAAGGAAAATTCCCGTAAAAGAAGAACTCGATAAAGCTGTGCCTCAGCACGAATTGTTGGACACGAGCATAATCAAAGCCAAGGGAGAGTTGGGTAAGTTTTACGTTTTGTTCCACGAAACCAAAAAAAAAAAATTTATTTTTATTTAATTTAATTTATATTAACTAGCTTTGTTAACATTGACAGGGCTGAGCCGATCCAGGGATTCTGCTTGACACCCTGGCAAGTTCTCTTATAACTTTACTAATTACTTATTAATAACTGTTAAAAAAAACTCTATAAAAATGGGTTTCGAAAAAAAATTTTCCGTTTTTCCGGTTTATTATTACTTATCGCGTTTCCTGTAAAAAAATTCTAATAATAATAATAATAAAATTTGTCCTTTCGATGACGTTTTTTTTTTTTACGCTTTATTTTTTTGTAGGCACTTATAAAAAGAAGCATGGTGCATGAAAATATTTGCTTTATTTGTGTTGAAGATTGAGGTGTTTTGTGTATTATTATTCATCATCATCTTGTATATATAATCAGGTTTTCTTACACGCAAATTTTCCAGTACTTAAAAATTTTCAATTTCGTACTTTATTCTTATTTGTTTTTTTTTTTTTTTTTATTTAAATGGGATTTTCAGGAACGAAGGGTGGTTTGGCAAATAGACAACTACCCTCGAACAAAAAAAATTTTAGTAGCAATAGTTTGGATTTCGGTTTATACGGACCCGAAAGGGAGAATTCAGCCAAAGTTGAAGAACACAATACACATAATGCTCAGGAAATAATTACCTGCAGTAGAGTACCTGTACAGTATTCTCAAATTAGCTCAAATTCAACTGTAAATACACATTCCACCCCGTCAACGTTTAGAACAGATTTGGTGTCCTTGCATGCTGCACAGTCACAAGCAAATCAACAACAGCAACAACAACAACAACAACAACCTCTCCACGTTTCAACCGGTTCGGATTCCTGGAATTCCATAAATTACACAAAACCTCCGAAAATAAGTTATCCGGTAGCTCTTCCAAAGCCTCCTCCCTCTTTAGCCGAACAATTAAAACAAGTTTTGGCGGAGAGAGAACGTCGACTCAGTTCCGAAGAAAGTCCGCCCCGAGAGGAATTGGAATCGTCGAAAGTTTCTTCGAACGTGGCCGAAGAAATAAAACTAGCCGTGAACGAGGCGAATTCTAAAGTGAGAAAAATAATGGTGCCGCAAATATTACCTCAACCTAACGCGATGCAACCGTGGCAGCAACAGCAACAAACGAGTCCCATGAGAGAAGTTCCTCCGAGTCCGAGCACGATATCGTCATCGGGGAGCGTGAGTCCCGGCGGCGCCACGGGAGATTCCCTATTGAGTTCGGCGGATTCGACGGAATTGTGGTGCACGTCGCTTCCGCAAGAAATAAATTATTCCGGCGACAGAAGAGTTAATTCACACTTTTGGCAATCCTCTCCGATAACGGATTGGTCTAAAGAGCAGGTGAAATATTATTAACGTACCTTGCGAATCCGAGTCAATCCGGGGTAAATGATCGATAATTACTAATACCGGCTAACTTGCTTTATCGGTTCAGGTTGCACAGTGGCTTCTTGCCTTGGGATTAGAACAGCACATCACAAAATTTCTTACTCAGGGCATCACAGGGAGTACTTTGGTTCAACTAGAAACAAAGGATTTTAAAGTATTAGGAATCAGCGGAGATGATAAAACGCGACTAAAAAAAAAATTAAAAGAACTCAAAGCCCAGGTACATGTACTAATTTTTTTTTTTTTTTTATTCGTACCTTTCGCATTTCGTTGCATTAATTGCTTTTTCTCCCCCGTCCCCCCTTCCCCCTTCCATCCCCTCCCCAATCAAAAAATTATTCATCACGGATAATCTTTTAATTCGTAAAATTCCCCCCCCCCCTCCCAATAATAATAATAATAATAATAAAATTTAATTAATAATTTTTTTTTTCTCTCTCTCTTTCTCACTCTTTCTCTCTTCCCATACAGGTTGAAAAGGAAAAGAAAGCTTTGGAAAAGGAAAAAAAAGAGAAGGAAAGACTTCAGAAAAAAGCGGAAAAACTAGCGGAAAAAGCGAGTAAAAAGAAGTAAAAAAATGATGATAATAATAATAATATTTACTCGAACAAAGTAACGGGAAAAAAAAAAAAAACATTTTATAATATTTTAATTTTTTTTTAAATGTGAAAATTATTTTCGTTTTCGCAACGGACTAAAATCAATGGAGAAAACTTTTGTACTTATCGACGGGGGGCGGGGGCGGGACAGGAGCAGGGGGAGGAGGAGGAAAGGGCGGGGTGAAAGTAGAAAAAAAAAAATTTTTATTATTTATTTATTTATTTATTTGTTTGTTGTTGATTGACTTGACCGCCGCCTATTACCGCCCTTCGTACACTATTTCTATTCCCCTCCCTCATGGTACATGACGGGGTGGGATGGGGGTGGGGGTGCGAGTAAACGGCTTTTCTTCTTCTTCTCCTCCCCCTTTTTGTGACATTTTAGGGTTGATTTTTTTTTTTTTTTTAATTGATGTTTTCTAAACTGGATAGATAGATAGGTAGGTAGTAATCCAGATCGAATTGATTTATTGTGATGTATAAAATAAATAATAATAATAATAATAATAATAATGTATGTTATGTATTATGGATATACGTTACTATTAATATAAAAACGTGTGTTGGTGTATTTTTTACGAAATGAGTGATAGTAATAATAATGATAATGATAATGATAATGATAATGATTGTAAACGTTTTTTCATCGGAGTTTATAATCGAAATTTTTTTACAGATCGATGATCTCTCTCTCTCTCTCTCTCTCTCTCTCAAAAAATAAAGCAGCTCATTTTTTTTTAATGATAAGTTAAGTAAACGAATTTATGTTGTTATTATTATTATTATTATTATTGTAATGCAGCTTTACGACGAAAAGAAAAGAAAAAAGGGAGGAAGAGGAGGAGAGGGTGAGGGGAAATTGTGTATTTTTATTTTTTTATTTTATTTAATGCGTGTGGGACGATAAAAAGTGATAAAAAGGTACGCATTATTGGGTAATTGAAAGAGAGAGAGAGAGAGAGTGATTTGCTTGGATTTAATTGTTGGGTGGTGCGTATAAGTGCGTAAGAGTGCGTGTATGTGCGTGTATGTACTAATTAAATGTCGTATAAAGAGAGAGAGAGAGAGAGAGAGAAGATAGGTTTAGATCTGTGTGTTAATGTTGTCGCACTGTGTATTTTCCCAAAGGATAAAATAATCAAAGGAAAAGGAAGTGAAAGGAAAAGAAAGGGAAGGTTTTAATGACGATAAAATAGTTTATCGTTAATGTCAGATTTTTGTTTTTTTTTTCTTTTTCAATGTCACTATCATTACCATCATCATCGTCATCATCACAATCACCATCATTGGAGTCACATAATATTTATAAATAATAATAATAATAATAGGTGCACACGTGTCACGGACGGTTTAAATTTTTTTTTTATATAATCCTCTCATCATTCCGGATGTTTTTATATTATTATTTAATCGTAAAAGAAAAAAAAAGGTTAAAAATGTTACGAGATAGAAAAATAATAAATATCTAAAATCACCATTTTTATTTTTTATTTTTTATTATCAAGAGGAAAAAGGTTCCTATTTTTCGGTAAAAAGGAGTAATAATGATGATGATGATGATGGTGGTGGTGGTGGTGAAAGCGGGGGAAAGGGGGAGGGGGGGGAAATTACCACCTTTCGTACGGTCGTTTGATAATTTGTTTATAAAAAAATTTTTAATAATTTATTCTTATCGAAAGAGGAAAAAAAATTAATTAATTGATTCTCGCTGACGTAAATTCTTCAATTTTTGACGTATTCAATTTGATAAATTTTTGTTTTTGTTTTTAAATAAAAAAAAACTGATGAAATATTTCATCATAAAACGATTGATATTATCGATTGGGATCGATTTGCGAGTTCAAATCCGTTTATTAAAAATTTTGACGCAATTATGACGATTATTATTATTATTATTATTATTATATAATAAAACATATACGATAATTTATTTTTTTCTACTCTGATAATTTTTTGTAATAATAATAATAATAATAATATTTGTAAAATATAGTGAATATTTGTGTGTATTGTATGAAATTGGTCGTTTACGTATAAAAATCGATTTGCTCACACGCACACGCCCACCCACACACACACACACACACGCATATAATTTTATCAATATTGCTGGTTTTACGATTTTTTTTTTGTTATCACGTCGTAAAAATTTAAAATCCCACCCTTACTTCTCTTTCTCTCTCCCTCCCTTCCTCCCTTCTCTTTCCCTAAAACAATTACATAACGTTTATAAAATCCCATCATCATCATTATTATATTTTAATTTTTTTTATGACCTTATCATCAATGCTATAACGTTAAAGTTTTTCTCTCTCTCTCTCTCTCTCTCTAGTCAAAATGGCAACCGTATTGATATTGGTTTTAATTTCATTACGTTTTGTTTCCCTCCCTCTCCCTCCCCCCTATTGTTTTTCATTGCTCACGTCTTTTTTCACACGACAAACATGTAATTTGCAACGTATTCAATATTATATTGCAAAGGAAAAAACTGTAACTAGTCGGTTATTATAACGAATTTATATTGTGTATTGTAATTAGGTTATTTACATTCGGTTGTATGGACATTTATTATTATTATTATTATTTATTTATTTATTTATTTATTATCATTTTGTGTGCGTAATAAATAATTCTAAGATTTTTCTTTTTTTTTCTTTTGTTTTCTCTCCCCTCCCCTTTCTTCCCCATTCTCCCAAGTCCTCCCTACTCCTCCTATTCCCATTTCCTCTGTACTTTTCCCTTCGTCGTTTCGATGTTCGTAATAATAATAATAATAATAATAATAATAATAATAATTGAGAAATAAAAAATAAAATTTTTTGTTTTTCCCCCTTTTAATTTTTTTTTTTTTTTTTTTTTTGCAAATAAAATAAATTATAAAATTTATTTATTTATTTGTATAAACAAAATTAAATTTTGATGATTTTTAAAAATTAAAATTTACCCCACACGCACACGCACACACACACACGTGTATAAGTTGAATGTATTTAAAAATGAATTTTATAATTTTTTCATTTCTTTGTTTGTTTTTTTTTTTTTTAAATTAAATGAAAATTTTTAACGGTTCAAATACTGCTCATTTATTATTTATTATTTATTTAAATTTTGTTTGTTTGTTTGTTTGTTTGTTTGTTCGGTATACGATGCCATTTAAATTTTTTTTTTTTTTAAACGAATGAAACCAAAGCAATATAATATTGATAAAAAAAAAAAAAAATAATAAAATTTACATGTCGAGACGTCGATTTGAGAGAGAGAGAGAGAAAAATAAATTTAAATTTAAATTTAACGGTTTTTCGTTCGAATGATAACAAACAATAATAATAATAATAATAATAATAATAATAATATATGATTGTATACACATTTTTTTTTTGCGTTAAATAATAAATAAATAGTAACGTTTATTTGAATCATAAAATTTGTATTGAGAGAGAAAACTTATTTATTTATTTATTTGTTTTCTCAGATTGTAATGATGATGATGATGATGATGATGATGATAATAATATATCGATTTAGATATTTATTCAAAGGGCGATAACATTAATACGACATACATTTTTTTTTTTTTTTTTTTTATATTTGTTGTATAAAAATTAAATTTAAAATACTTAATGTATATTTTCGTTGTATTTATACTTATATTATCGTTCGTAGGTATTTAAAACAAAAAAAAAAAATTTCAATAATAATAATAATATATATACATAATTTAAGTATTTATATATATATTATGTCTAGATTAAAATTGTGTTGTGATAAAAAAAATTTTTTCGTAAAAATGTTTATTTATTTATATATAATTAATAACCAATCAATCAATATTTTATCATATTTTTATAAAAATAATATATTTTATAGGGGTGATATTAAGGTATAATATAATAATTATTTAAATAATATATATATATATATATATATAAACATAAGTTTACGATGATGATAATGATTATTAGGTACTTTTATTGCTATTATTTAAATGTAACAATTTTTTTTTTCTGTATATATATATATGATAAACGTGAGTGTAAAATTTAATTTTTATTCGATATATCGATTAATCGATTATTTCGATTAATCGAAATTATTTGATTTTTAGGGGGAAAGAAAAACAAAATGCGTGCGATTGCACGCAATTAATTAATATAAATAAAAAAATCCAAAGAATTTTTTTTTTTTTTTTAGTTTTTCTACGATAATAATAATATTTAAATTCGAATAACGATTTTATTTATGTTATTCAATTTATGCCATCAAAATTTATTAATTTGAAAGCAAAAAAAAAAAAAAAAAAATAGATTCATCATTTATAACATTTAATCTGTGCATTACTTGAGAAATATATATATATATATATATCTAAATAGTTAATCGAATCCTCGAGAGAGAGAAAAAAAAATCAAATAGATTAAAAATTTATTTATTTATTTATTTATTATTATTATTATTATTATCAATTATTGTTATTAGTAATCGATATTTATAAATTATATCGATAATGATTGATTGATTTTTTTCCTTTATTCAAGGGCTTAATTATATTTTTTTATTTTCTATTTTAATGAATGAATCACATGGAAAAGTTTTATATGACTGTTTTTTTAAATTCGTCGAGGCTTTCAATTAATAAAACATTCCTACGATTAAATTCTCTCTCTCTCTCTCTCTCTCTCTTTCTCTCTCTCTCTCTCTCTCTCTCTCTCTCTCTTTCTCTTTCTCTCTCTCTCTCTCTCTCTCTCTCTCTCTCTCTTTCTCTTTCTCTCTCTCTCTCTGTTCATCTGTGGAACATTTACAAAACTAATTAATTAAATAAAATAATAATAATAATAATAACAATAATAAATTTAAAATGGTAATCGATTTGTCAAAACATTTTTGCTTCTTTTTTTTTTATTTAAATAAATTTAAAAAATTTATTATTATTATCATCTTTTTTTCCAATTGTATTATTCAATTTATTATTATTATTATTACTATTATTATTATTATCATTATTAGTATTTTTTAATGTAATTTTATAAATAAAAAATCATAGTAGTCTATATTATTAAAAGTGCACACACACACACACACAAATACACAATTTTGAATAATAATAATAATAATGAAAATAATAATAATAATATTTACTATTTATAATAATAATAATAATTTCTTATTTATATAATTAAAATTGGCTAGTCTGTTCTTTAATCGTTCATTTCTTTGTTTTTTTTTTTTTTTTTCATTTTTTATATATATAAATTTATATATTCTTTTTTTTTTTTTAATATATAATATAATAATTTTAGTATTTTATAAAAAAAAAAAAAAATAATAATAATTTTTTATCATTTAATGATTTCCTTTATTTAAATTATATTTGTTGTTGTTGTTGTTGTTATCGAATTATTTTAAGTGTAATCAATGTAATTTTTCAACAATCTAATAATAATAATAATTAATCAAGTGTTTTTTTTTTTATATTTTGAAAAGGAAAATTTTTTATTTTTGATTGATTATCAATTAAACAGTAGCAAATATTTTCAAGAGTGTGAAATAATTAAATACAATATTTAATAGATTTGAATCGATTTAGATTATTTGATTAAAAAAAAAAAAAAAAAAAAAATTATTTATTTATTTATTGGCGTGCATGCAACAAAAAAAAATACATTTTGTGAAATCAATGTTTTCAAATAATCACATCAATTTATTAAATCAGGTAAATTTTTTTCTGTTGTTTTAATTAATTATGTGTATAAATGTCAAATGAAATTATTTGTATTTATTTCAAAATTATTTAAAATTTGTTTATATGTTTTTTATTGTTCTGGCTTGGATTGTGAACCATTACATTAAAAACGTCCACTAATTTTTTTTATAAATCAAATTTATTAAATAATCGTTAATAATTATTAATTCATAAAATTTGAAAATATTTTATATATATATATATAAGTAAAAACAAAAAAATGATTGACTTGTGTAAACTTTTCATAATCATACCTGTTTAATTTTTTTTTTTTTCTAATCAATTTATAATATACTTAAACGAACAATGTTTTTTTTTTATTTAGATTATTATCCAATAACAATGTTTACATTTAAGTAATTATAATTAAGATAAGAGAAATTCATTTACAATCATTTTAATTGTTACTATCTCTGTTAGGTCATTTGAGGAGGCCATGATCAAACCACCAGCAATGAATGTAAAAAATTATTTAAAACATTCATACTTTGTTGCTATGAGAATCAATCGCATAGTGACAATTATTATAGACTATATCTTTTAAAAAAATTTTTTTTTTTTTGTGAACGGTAGGTTTAATTATTAAAAATCAGAGTTTAAATTATTATTATTATTATTATTTAATTATTCATCTTTTTTTTTATTAAAATTAAATTAAAATTTTTTTTTATGAATTTAAAGTAATTATTTTGCGGTTTAAATTTATTATCATAATTAAATATGGTTTTTGTTTTTTGCTTTTTGTTTTGTTTTGTAATCAGTTCATTAAATACTATTAATTATTAGATAAAGCAATAATAATATGGAGAAAAAAAAAAAAATATTTTACTAAGCTATAAAAAATTTTTAGGAACTTTATAAGGGGGGTCTAGGTCGTAACCTTATTCTTGCATGAAAAATAAAAATTTTTTATTATTAAAAAGCTAACTCCTTTCATATTGTGTGTATATATTTTTTTTTTTTTTTTTTTTTGTTATCAGTATAGTAGATTTTAATAATTATTTACTTTCAATATAATAATAATAATAATTAATAATTGTTTTTAAATTATAAAATACAATTTAAAAAAAAAAAAATCAATTAAAAACGTAAATATTATAAAATTATTTAATTAAATTTAAATTTTCTCTTATCTAAATATCATTTATAATTGCATTGATAATTATAAATGATTTTTATTTAAAAATAAATAAATCACGTCAAATCATTTATTTAATACAAGAAATATATGTAATCAATCATTAATTTACTTTTAATCGTAATTTATCGTAAGTAATTTTGATTATAGTATAATTTTACATTCAGTGAAGCCATTAAAAGCCTAATAAAAACTAATTTTTTTTTTACTAAAAGTGAGTTAAATTGCGTACTTACAATTTGTTGATATAAAAATATTTCAAATAAAAAATATTTATTTAATTATATTTTAAATAACTTTTAACACTTTATTAAAAAAAAAAATAGAAAAAAGAACAAAAGGTTTTGTGATAATAATAAATTCAACGGTTTTTTTTTCGGATCGGATGATTTGAAAATTTGCGAGTTTTCGGGGCCTTAAAATTTACTAATTACACGATTTTTTAAATAATTTTATTGTTTAAATTTTTTTTTTTTTTTTGCGAATAATTTATTATTATTATATTTGTACAGCATGAGGCTGGTAGATTTTTTTGTTTTAAATGAAAAACGTGATTAAATTTGTTTTTTTTTTTAAAATCATAAATCAATTTTATTAAATAAATAAATATCGTATAATCGAAATAACTTTAAAAAATGCAATATTATTTTTTTTATTTGTTTAAAATTGCATTTGAAGGGATTTAAGAGAGAAAGAGAAAGAGAGAGACGCAGAAAATTAATTTTAATTGGTATAATTATTTCATCTTATTTATTTTTTTTTTACGGTTTTAAAATTTTCCATGCTAAATATTTAAATCATTAAGTGAATAAAATTAATTTCGATTTGATTTTAGTAATTTATGTTTTATGTTTTCAATTGTTGAGATAATTATAAAAGTTAAATTTTTATAAATTTAAATTAAGTAATGTTATTAAAATAATTTTGTTTTTTTTTTTTTTAAGAAAATGTTTTTAGTTTTGTAAATTTAGTATTTTGATAAATTAGTTGCTAAGAGTATGTAATATTGATTTATTATTACTTTTTATTAAGGCTGAATTTACTGAGTACAAGATGTTGGGCTCTGTGGAAGCTAAAGCAAACGGTTCAAAACTCCAAATGAAACATGCAGGAAGTGAAAATATGGAAAGTAAAATTAATGTTCCATTAGAAAAAATGAAATACCATAGTCAGTTTGGTGAATTAGACAGTAATTTGTAAGTACATAATTTAAGATTTACATTATTATATCTATTTATTTCAAACATATATTTTATTATTATGTCGAATGAATTAATTATTTATATGTACGTCATTTTTAAAGTTTGTAAAATTATGTTTTGTTATTATTATTAATATTTATTTATAAAACTTATCGGTTTCATTAGTTTTTTTTTTGTATTTTTATATTTAAAGTTATTCATATGAAGCAATTCAAAGTATAGCTGACTTTTTGCTGAAAAGAGTTAAAAGCAGACCAAAGATTGGTATTATTTGCGGATCAGGTTTAGGTGAGTTTAAATAATACATTACTTTAATTCTGAGAAGACAGTTAAAAATTAATATTTGTTTAAGTTATTTTTATTTTTAATATTATTCCTGGTAGTTTTATAGTTTTATATTCTTGTTTTATTAAAAGGTCCTCTCGGTGACATGCTTAAAGAAGCACAATATTTTCATTACGAAGACATTCCTCATTTTCCTGTTTCGACAGTAAAAGGACATGCTGGACGTTTAGTTTTTGGAAAATTGGATAGTATTGATGTTATGTGTTTACAGGGAAGATTTCATTGTTATGAAGGCTATCCATTGTGGAAAGTAAATTTTACAGTTTTTTATTATGTTTTTAATTTTGAATCAATTGTTTAAATTAAAATTTTCACAACCAAAATTTTTTTTTTTTAGTGTGCTATGCCTGTGAGATTAATGAAACTCATTGGAATATCACATTTAATTGTCACAAATGCAGCTGGAGGGCTCAATTCAGATTACAAAATTGGAGATGTCATGATTATTAAAGATCATATAAATATAATGGGATTTGCAGGCAACAGTGCTCTAAATGGTCCAAATGATGAAAGGTAGATTTTATATTATTTAAAATTAATACAAGAAAACTAAAATTCATACAGTAATTCTTTTATAAAAATAAAAAATTGAACATTACATTGATGTAATCTGTTGTTGTTTAATTCTCAATAGGTTCGGGCCACGTTTTCCTGCAATTAATAAAGCCTATGATCCTAAGATTAGAGCATATGCCAAAGAAATAGCTGCAAAATTGAAAATTTCAAACACAGTACATGAAGGTATTTATGCTTGTTTGGGAGGGCCAAATTATGAAACTATTGCAGAATGTAGAATGCTGCGAAAAAATGGAGTCGATGCTGTTGGTAAGGAAATAATTTTTTAAATGTTTTTTTCCTTTGTAACGAAATGAATTTGTAATTTAAAAAAATAATTTTAGGAATGAGTACAATTCCAGAAGTAATAACTGCTAAGCATTGTGGAATGACAGTTTTTGCATTTAGTTTAATTACAAATGTATGTATATTAGACTACGAAGATGAAGAAGAGGCAAATCATGAGGAAGTTGTTGAAATAGCAAAACGAAAAGAATCTGTTTTAATTAGTTTCGTTTCTCACATTATTCATACAATTAATGATAAATTTCTGGTTCGATAACTTTATGTATTGCTTTTAAAGAATTTTATTTAAAAGTAAGTCTAAGATAAAAATTCTTTGGAATTTGAAGCAGAACTTTATATAATTTGGTTAATTACAGATGAACCTAAAAAAAAATCTATTTTGTTTTTGCATTTGGAAAATGCATTATTAAGGTTTATGGTATAAAGTATTTAACGAAATTTTCTAAATGTAATATTATGACTTAATCATTGTTATTATTTGATCACTGTTAAAATTAATTTACTTAATTATTATCAATATGTATTTTAAATAATTTTAGAAATCGTTAATTAATATAGATTTTTAGAGAATTTACTATTCAATATAATTTTTTTAAATTATAAAAAGGATTTTTATTTAAAATTACCCTAATTAGTTTTATCATTCGAAAATGATAAAAACTTTTATGTCCTATGAAATACATACGAAATCAAATTTTGGGAACAAGACGTTTTTCATAGAGAAAATAACTTTGAGTTAAAGGATTGACAATTGTATTGTTGCGATACAACAAAATATGGTGGTATTCGTAAGCGGTGAGTGATAATGGTTGGTAAATACATGAAGTTTTGATAATTTTTTTTTACGGCAAACCTTAATTCTTTATATTTGTGTAAATTTAAGTAAGTTATGTTAAATAAACAAAATGCTTACGATTAATTTTAATTTTAAAAATATTTTTAAGTGATGTTTTTTATAAAGTTTTATCGTATATTTAGCAAATAGTTATAAAATGTAAAATATTATTCGGTCTAAATTGAAGTTTTGCCTACGATTTTTAATTTAATTAAAATGTAGCTTCATTCAAACAATTTTAATTTTTCTGAGCTTTGACTACCATTTAAACCATGGCAAGTGTTGGTTATGGTAGATCAGGGGTTTTAGAAACCTATGTAAGAGGACACTGGTATAAAGTTTTTGTGTCCGTTGAAGAAGATTATTTATCTATTTGTTTAGATGAAAACTATGAATCATCTACAGCTCTTAATGGAACCTTAAATAATAATAATAATAATAATGGTCTAAATGATTCTGGAACGGGAACAATGGATGTTGCTGATGTTCCAGATTCAGTGGCTAATCAAAAAAGAGTTGTTAGAGTTGTTAAATCAGACAGTAATGGTTTAGGAATATCAATTAAGGGTGGGAAAGAAAATAAAATGCCCATTCTTATATCTAAAATATTTAAAGGCCTAGCTGCCGATCAAACTGAGCAACTTTATGTTGGTGATGCAATTTTATGTGTTAATGGAGAAGATTTAAGAGATGCTACTCATGATGAAGCAGTAAAAGCTCTTAAAAAAGCTGGCAAAGTAGTAGACCTAGAGGGTAAGTTATTTTAATATTTTAATACTTGGAACCAATCTGTTAACACTTAGAACCTATCCAATTTTTATATATTGAGTGTCATCAAAATCAAATCTAAATTGTAAGCTTTTCAACTTTTAAATTTTAAACCGAGAATTTTTTAGTAGCGAGGAAACAAAAGTAAACTAATACCGATATAAAAAATTTCACACCTGATAAACATTTCAAAATGAAACATGGTAATGCTAAAGATGGTATTTGTATTAAAAAAAACCTACAATTTAATTCTTACAGCATTTAAATTCATTAGTTGTATGTTTATAAAAAATAACTTAATTAAACTGGTTTTTATATTACACTTTGAGAAAATTGGTTGTATTAACATGCCTTAAACACAACTTTATATAGACTAATAAAATTTTAGACAAGCAGATAATTTTTATTTGAATTAAAGAATAATTGCTATTGGTTAACATTAAATTTACAAAATAATAAACAAATTTAATAAACTTTTAAAATGGCTTTGAAATTTAACAGAAACATTTATTAGGTACATAATTGTTTTAGGTTTTTTATAGTCATAATAATGATTGAAAATTTTACTCTGTTGTTTATTAATTCCAAAAAAAAAAAAAAAAAAAAATAACATTTAAAATGATGCTGGTACTGAAATATAATTTATTTTATTATATGGAATGCACACCACATGGGATTACATTTTGTCTTTTATAACAAAACATTCAAATTTGTCGTTATTCGTGATAATAATTATTCAGTTAAATATCCAGACTGTCGACGAGGTGGTTTTTCATATTTGTTTGTTTGTTTGTTTGTTTTTTGCAAATCATTCTTGTCATGGGTTTTCCAGTGGGTTTTACCAGACAGCCGTCATCATTGCTTCCTTTAATCGTCTTTAAAATGACCTTTCTTTTAATTGAAACGTTTAATTGCTTAAAAGTCTGTACATATGACACTAATTTAAAGTAAATAATTTGTTGAAATAATAATTTTTTTTTTTTTATTGCTGATATTATTATTGTTTTAATTTAGAGTATCTTTTACTGTATTTTCCTCTTAATGATGTCAGAAAAATCGAGGCGAAATCGAATGAACCTTTTTAAGAAATTAATTAAAAATATTTTCTCTCAGCAAAAGAGATGTTTTGTTGTTTTATTATTATCTTAATTTTTGTTGGCCTTTGAAAAATAACAAAAAGTATTGCACTGCCAACGTGCAAGAAACTTATTACATAATTATTTATTGAAAATTACTCTCATGTTCCCACGCAGAAATCTATTATTATAAAAAAAAAAAAAAAGGTGTATAAATTTATATTTATTTATAAAAACAAGTTTTTTTTTTTTGTGCACTTCAAAAAAAAAAAGCGGAAAGTCCACAAGGTTAATGATGTTAAAGAAAAAAAAGAGAGAGAGAGAGAGAGAAATTTACTGCTGTCAGTCGGATCGCAAAACGGAATTGATTTTGGATGAACAAAATTAAAATAATAAAAAAAAAAAAAAAAAGAAATAAAACTTTGCCAAAACAAAAAAAAAAAAAAAAAAAAAGATTTTTTGAAAGTTTGTGGCAGATTTAGAAAAAAAAAAAAAAATGGCCGTACACAAAAATTTTACTACAAGAGTAAGAATTAATTAATTTCGGTGGTAAATTTTTATTTACTTTAAAATTTATTAAATTAATCCCTCGTAAAGGATTTTTAATATCGATTACAGGTTTCGGTTCATTAAACATTAATAATGATAATAAAAATATGTTACCGTTAATAAAGTTCAATTTTCAAAAAAAAAAAAAAAAATATCGAATAATACTTATCATAAATTTTCGTATGTAAAATTATTATTGGATTCATTTTCTTGTTCTTTTTGAATATCATTATACAAAGGGGGAAAGAGAGAGAGAGAGAGGAAGGGATGAGTGATGGAGAGAGAGAAAAAGATGAGAGAGAGAGAGAGAGAGAGAGAATTTAAAAACGGCGATTTCTTGTTCTTTACAATTTCTAATAATCTTATAGGAATTATCACTTCCTCATAATGCGTGCATCATATTAATAAATATTATTATTATTATTATTATTATTATTATTATTATTATTATTATTATTATTATTATTATTATTATTATTATTATTATCGTTTAAATGGCTACGTATAAATAAATTTATTTGACATTCACTAATTAAAAAGTTGGTTGGTCGGTTGGTTTTCTTTTGTAAATTTGGTATTTTTAATGAATACCAAAAAAAAAGAAATCAAACTTTTTTTTTTTTTTTAAATGTTTAAAAAGTTAAAACGATTAAAGTTTTCTTTTCTTTTCTTTTCCTTTTTTTTTTTTTTACTTTTCGAAAATGTAAAAAGGGTAATTCAATCCTCCCCTCCCCCCCCTAAAAAAAAAAAAAAAAAAAAAAAAACGAGTTTTGAAAAATTCTGGCAATTTTACGAAGTGTAAAATCTCGAAACGATTTTTAAAATAATTTTTTTTTTTTTTTTTTTTTTTAACACTAAAAAGCACACACTAGGAAGAGAAAAAAAAGCTACCGAAATTGGTTTTTTTTTTTTTTCTTCATAAAAAATAAAGTTTAATATTCTTCCATTCAATATATTTCTCTCTCTCTCTCTCTCTCTCTCTCTCTCTCTCTCTTCCTCTCTCTCATTTTCCACAAATGTGTATTCTCAGGGCTCTCGGCTCTTGTCTTGAATTAAAGAGAAAAGTGAAATAAACAAAAATAATGGATACTGAAGTAAAACACACGCATGCACACACACACACACAAACACACATTTATACACACAGGAGAAATAGAAAGAAAAATAATAAAAAATTTTGGGATTAAAGGCTCATGAATCAAAAAAAATAATTTCCGAAGTCAGGTCAATACGTTTTCAATAAGAAGAAGAAGAAGAAGATGCAGCACGAATGGTTTTATTATTATTATTATTATTATTATTATTATTATTTAGGGGTTGGGAATTTTTTTGTGGCCTTTAAACGTTGTTTGAAAATTCGGTGTGTGTGTGTGTGTGTGTGTGTGTGTGTGTGTGTGTGTGTGTGTGTGTGTGTGTGTGTGTGTGGTTTTTTTTTTTTTTTTTTTTTTTTTTTCATTTTGGTGTAAATTGTCCATTTTTTGTCTTTTTGTCGGTCGTATTCGGTCGAAAGTTTAAAAAATTTTGTACGTTTTGTATATATATATATATATATATTTTAATAGAAAACGACGCCATGTATCTTGTTCTCTTTTTTTTTTTTTTATTATACAAAACAAGGCAAAATATTCGTCGTGAATTTATTATTTAATGTTTTTGAATTTTTTTTTTTCTTTTTTTTTTTATATTCATTTATTGGTTTTAAATTCCAAAGAATTTTTAAGATCGTTTTACGAATGTCACGGCCAGAAATAAATAACGATTTAGCAAAAAAAATGAAAATCTTAATTTACATATCCATTTGTAATAATTTTGTAAAAGAATTTTTTTTCTTTTTTTTTATTTTTAGAAATTTGTTTGTGAGTTGTTTGTTTCATTTTGTTGTATGACTTTTTACTGTCTGTAATTATTATTATTATTATTATTATTATTATTAAATCTCTGACAAAGTATTATCGGTTAAAATTTTTTGTTTTTTTTTTTTTTTTTTTTTTTTTGAAATTTCACATCAAAAATACTAAAATAGGGAACCGGAAGTAATTGGTGACGTGACAAATTAAAATTAATTATTCTCGACACGTTTTCGAATTTCGATTGAAGTTGTAGAAAAGAAAGAAAAAAGAAAAGTTTCGAACAGGAAGAAAAATTAGAGTGCGAGAGTTTAGAATGAAAGAAATAATTATGAGGAAAAAAAAAAAAGAAAATTTCTTAATCGATTTCCCATTAACGATTTTTTTTTTTTTCAAATTTGGATCTCAAAGTTGAATTTTTTTTTTTTTTTTTAAATTTCATTACAAAAAAAATTATTATTATTATTTATCATTAGTTTTATTTAATTAGAGGAGGGGAAGGGAGGAGGGGGGGGTAAAAAAGGAAAAGATAATTTCGAAAAAATTTTTAGTTTTTTTTTGGAAAATTAATAGGTAAACTAAATGAAATTGTTGTTGTGTTCGACGATAGACATGATGATGATGAAAATTTCGATTCGTTGAATTTTAAAAGGTTTTAAAAGGTTTTTAAGGTTTTAAAAAGGTTTTTTATCAGACGGAAAACAAAAAAAGAAAAAAAAAATCGAAAAAAATTTATGGTTCATTAATAATAAGTAATTCGGAAATCGATTTCGATTTTATTTTTATTCAAGTACATTCATATTAGTGAGAAAAGAAAAATGAAAAAGAAAATTTTTTTTTTTTTTTTTTTTTTCGTCGAAAAGCGGCCCGCGTTTTTGCAAAAAAGCTTTTTAAATAATTTTATTATTATTATTATCATCATTATTATTATTTACCTGAATTAA